TTGACTGCTCTCCCTGATATGGATAACAAGAAGAGACAGGTAGCAGGGCACTGATCAAAGGTGGGAAAGGCTTCAGGCTACAAGAAAAGGGACCAGGATTTGAGTGCTTGCCAGTTCCACCTGATATCACCAGCCTTCCACACTGACATTTGCAGAGTCTTTCTTTTCTCATTTGCAAAAATAAAACCAAAGAGTGTCACATTGAAACACATGCTTCTGCATCTTACTGTGGGTTGTTACATTCCCAGTTGCTTCTTTTGTTAGACTATGTTTCAATATTCTGAAGCTTCTAGAGACATGTAGCTGTCCCTGAACAAATGTGTCTCTCTGCCCTCAACATCTGGCAGATATAACTCAGTAATTTGCATATGGTGATGCATGCCTGAATTATTATCCATAGTAGCATATGAGATAGTTGATCCCATCATTTATAGATCTTCATTATCACTGAATCCACCCACTTGCTAAAAATGTATTTGTAACCCCAACATCTTCCAGTCCTCTGTAGACACACATAGAGTAGCAAAGTTTTGAATTTTCAATATATGTATCCCTGGCTAGAGCTGAAGAAATAACTGTTCTATGCCTCCTGCTCCTGTTCTCATATCAGAAATGAATGCAGTTATGGTCTATTTTGTAATCTTCCCCCCTCTCTTTTGGTTGACGATATTGCTGTTTAAAATGGTTGCCTAATATTGCTGAGGTACTGCTGATTATCACTAAGATCAAACCATATTAGTTACTACTGCCCAGCAGTGAGTTACAATGCTTTTGGTCATAAATTCATAAACCTCTCTCTCTGTTTCTTTCTGTGTGTCTTTGTCTCTCTGTGTGTCGCTGTCTCTCTGTCTCTCTGTATGCTTGTATGCACCCATGTGTATGTATGTACCTATTTGTGTATAATTTCCTTAACCTGAAACACATATAAAACAAGATTAAGTATTAATTTATTGAAGAGAATGCTGTCACTGGAGGTTCTTGAAAACCTGTCTTACTATGTTCATCTTAGGGGCAATGATTTAGCATTTTTAATCTAATTTCCATGGTTACTTTATGGAACATGGCAACCACAAATCAAGAAATGACTCCCTCCTTCCTCTACCCCCACTGTTCTCTCTCTATATATATATATGTGTGTGTGTGTGTGTGTGTGTGTGTGTGTGTGTGTGTTCCTAAAAGCCTCCTTGAAGACCAGAGATATTTATTAGTTATCAGATATCTGATTTTTAGAATCACAGCTTACACCTCATATGAAGATAAATGGCCCATAAAGCATTTATGGGAAACCATATTTTGTAGCTTTGCAGGGGCATTGAAGTTAATTCTCACTTATGATCCATCCTATACAAACTGGACAAGTTTGAAAATTAATTTGGACAATCAAGTGCATAGCTTACATGAGCAGAGTTTTCCTTTGTTCTTTGTGATCTCTTTTTACCATTAGTGGGTTTAAATTTACAGAGAAGATTTAGCCTGTGCATATAAATATTTGATTATCATATGTGTAAAATAGAAACTCCAATCCTGTATACATAAAAATATCATCTAGAAAGGCTGTCTGTGGTTCTATACCTCCTGCTGCCCTATGAGGCAGAAAGCCCTAGCAACTGTTTGGGACTCTGTAGTGTGCAGATTGTGCAGTGGCACACAGGAGATATTCATGCCGAGTCAGCATGTTTTAACATAAGGTAAGTCTGTAGAACAGTTTCCTCAGTGGTTGCCAGTCATGAAGCCACTGAGGATTATATTTGAAAGCTCCCTCAAGATATGTTCTACACTAATTCTCACCCCATAAAAATCAAAAGCCCAGGTTAACCACTACTCTGTAGTTTTGAGAATTATACATAACTGTAGACCTATTGTTGCTGCCTATTCAGCTATCTCCATAACATCCTGTTTGATTGTGTGACAGACAACTTCAACTCAAAGTGAATTAGATGGAGTTTCTGCTCTCTGCCTCTCAAACCTTTCCTGAGCCTATCTCCAATAATGTTAACACTTGTCTACATAGACCATGGTTCTTTCGGTTTTCTCACGTCTCATAAGTATTCCACGCACAAGGACAGTTTCTTTGCCCCATGTGCATTGGTAATGATCAGAGACAATAGCACCACCATCAGTCTGTCCCTAGACATCTGCTGTGAGGATTTGAATGGACTCTCTTCCATAAGTCTCTAGCATTGGAGGACATGGTGCTCAGGTGGTTGGGTTTTTTCGTTTGGTTTGTTTTTTTCTTTTTTTTTGGGGGGGGGCAGTTGTTTTGTTTTGTTTTTTTAGTTATTTTTTAGAAGGATTAAGAAGTGTGACCTTGTGGGGGAAATGTGTCACTGAAGGCAGGTGCTGTGATTTCAAAAGACCCATGCCACTTTGAGTGCATGCTCTCTGCTTCCTATTTTTGGTTTGGGATGTTTCTCCCTGGCTTCACTTTCAACCACCTGCTGCCTGCTACTTCTGCTCTTCCATCATGGAATCTCACCCTCTAGAACTGTAAATCCCCTACCAGTCCTCAAGGAAAATTTTTTTCTTCTGCAAGTTGTCTTAGTTTTATCAAAACAATAGGGAAGCAACTAACACATCTGTGTTTTCAAAATGATCTCCTAACTTTCGCTCTGAATCTATTGAATACTTAGACAGACATTTGCCAGTGTGAGAGCAGTTATGGTTCTATCAAAAGAGGGCAGGTTGATTACATTGTAGAGGACAATGCTTGAAATGTACCCAAATCATCTTGTCTAACTCAGGGCAACACCCAAAGACCTTAAAGGCACCATGACTCTCCCTCTTCTTTATGCCCTCTAGTTGAATCTCCTCATCCCTTTCTATGCCCTACCCACTGGCCATGCTCAAGCTAACTTAGGTTTGTTGCTGGTCTCTGAATATGCCTGGCAGGCCCAAGGCTTGGCATTTGCGATCGCTTCTATATTGAAGGTTGTTTCTTCAGATATTCATTACTAGAGTTTCAGTACCAAATCTTCCTCCACAACAATGCGTCACTCAATTCAAAAGTGTCCCTTTCCCTTTGCTATGCTTCCCAAACCCAGACATTCTACTGCCACACTGTGTAATGTAACTTCCTATCCTAATGGAAATTTTCTTGGCCAGGATGACCAGTGCACTCCATACTAGCCACAGGTGACACTCAGGTTAAAATGTAATGGCAATTATTTGCTTTTAGCTAAAGTACTTATTTGCTTGCATTAATAAAATACATTTGAATTCACTGAACCTTGGAATAAACCTTAATTTAAGTAGTATGTGACTAACATATTGGACAAAACAGGACACCCAGAATTCCTCATTTTATATTTAATAAATTAAGAATAGATATGCCTTCTTGTTTTGTGTTTATATACAATTTGCCTTGATGTTAATTGTTGAAAAAGTTATTTCTCCCTCTCATTACCCATCAATATCACCTTAGTAAAACCTCAATTATCTAGATATGAGTGAATCTATTTATGAAGTTTCTCTTTTGTTTCAGTTACCAATATTTATACATGATAGAACTGAGTCCTTCAGCTCTGTTCTTCAAAACTGACTTGTTTCTGACCCTTTCATGTGTGTCCATAAGGTATAAAATCTGCTTATCCCTTCTCACCAAAATAATCACACCAACCTACAGACAAATGCCCTGCTGGAATTTTAATTTAGGTTTGTACTAAAAATCAATATCAATCTTGCAAGGGCTGACATTTTACAATGTTGAGTCTCTTAATTAATGAAAATTTTATATTCCTCTATACCTCTAGGATTTTAAATCACATAAAGAGCATTTTATACCTATCTGTGAAAAGGCTTGCATATCCTCTATTGTGTTTATTACCATATATTTGAGATTTTAGAGGCTGTTGGAGATATAATCTTCTAGAAGGTCATTTTCTAATTGCATATTACTGATATATAGAAACAAACAATTTTATGTTAATTTGGAATCCAGTAATTATTGTAAATTAAAATCATTTACTATGGCTTTTCAGAATATTCTGAACATATAATTTAACCACCTATGAATAATGAAAATCATAGGTCACACTTTCCCATCCTTATGCTTATTCTCCCTCCTGTATTAGATAAGACCTCCCATAGAGTGGTGAGCAAAATAGTGTTCCTGCTGGCAAGAGGGAGAAAGCTGTCAATATTTGCAAACTGTTACCAGTGTTGTAAGTGTATGATCACAATGGTTCTTTTCATACCATAGGTAAATGTAGTATTTAATCAAACACATTTTTCTGTGGCTATTAATTTCTGTCTGAGTTTAAATAGAGTAAGAGTTCCAGAAAACAAATAACTTTCATAGTTACATGTATTTAAAATGATGTATCTTTTTCAGATCTTTCTTTTCTGGGCATTGATTTCTCTTGCAAAGTCTTATGTTTTGAGACACAATAGGAAATGTTTTCATTAGATATATTGTTCAGTTACCATATGCACATAGACTAACAATATTGTAAATTATGAACATTTAAAAAACAAGTGTGTTGAATATTTATGCTGCTTTTACTAAATAGTAGTGTGATGGTAGGTTTTAATTGTCAATTTGCTGTAATCTAGAATCTTCTGGAAAGAGAGTACTTGTGAGAGATTATCTAGATCAGGTTGCTGTGTGTGCATCTTTGTGGATTATTATCTTCCGGAGATCCAGGCCACCATAGTTGTCACCATCCTCTAGTCCGTACAAGAGTAAATAAAGCTAACTGAGAACCAAGCATGGATATATTAATGATCTCTGTCCGTGGCTGTGGTTGTGATGTAACTAGCTGCCTCAACTACCCCCAAACAATAGACTACAATTCAGAACTATAAACGGAAAAAAAAAATGCTCTCACTCCTAAGCCGCCTTTTGTGAGGGTGTTTTTTACAGCAACAGAAATGAAACTAGAACAAATATCCTCTTTAATCATGTTGAAAACTCGATCAATGTTATGCCTATTTTACTTTAATTTTGTGCAATTAGTTCATTAGAGCAGCTTAAACAAGTAAACAGGGGTGTGTTAACTCACCCGTCATGTTGCAGTAGAGGAGAAATGCTTGCAGAGGCCCACTTCCATCTAAGTCTACGTAGTAAAATCCAGAAGCATTGCCTCGGTGCTTATAGGCTTCACACGACTGCTCATAGACAGCTGAGAGAAAAGAGAGAGACATCATACATGACATAACACGAGACAAATCTCTCAAATTGTGAGAGATTTACAGTAGATCCCCAAGTCTATCTGCAACACTAGTCAAGAGAACAGGTAACATTTATATTTTAAAACAAAATCCATTCTTTTCTTTTTTTAAATTAATATGGATGAAAGGGATAAGATACAAAAAACAAAAAAAGGTGAGGTTGTATTTTATGACATTTTTATCACCAAAGGGGAAGGAGATTATTAGATCAAAATGAAAATTTAGCTTATTTTTTATGGTAGGGAGAACTAGGGGGGGAAGACAGCTATTTAAATGGTAAGACCTTCACAAGTACAATGTGGTTTCTTGAGGTACCCATTTTAGAATATCTAATTCTAATATCACCTTGTAATAACCTAACATCTGAAAATACAGTAGCGTGACCTTCAGAAATAATCAGGTGCTAACCAGTAATTATGCAATAGGGACATTTTAAATAATATTTGAACTCTGATACTTTCTAACATCAATTTAACTAGAGGTAAATATTTTCCTTCAAAGGGGAAACATGATTCACAAAGTTCCACATGTATAGTTGTAAATGTAATTACAAAACTTCTCTACTGCTCTTTAATGAGCACTCAACACAATTAAGATTCAAAAGCAGAGGAAATATTCATATGAAATATGCCCCCAAGTGGTCTCATTGTGTTTTGATCCATAATTGAATTTTTTATTATAGGAGTATATATTTGCCATGCATAAGGCTTGATATTAACATCTGTGAAATGCACACTTCTCATTGAATGCCTGGCCAAATGTACCAGTAACTTCCATTAAGGTTTCTATTCCATGAAATCTGAAATAAAAGAAACCCCTGGGTAGCCTCCCCTGAATCAATTTTAAATTTTTGAAAATCATGTTAATGAAGGTTTAGGCCACATTGAACATTGCAGCTAATTTGTATGAAGTTACAAATTTTACAAATAATTCTGGAACTTTCATTCCACACTGCTTTTCAATATGATGCTTCCACTTATCAGTATTTATATCATATAGATGGAGGCATAACCACGAAGTGGTTTGTAACTATATTTGCATTGTGCACTGAAGTGGGCATGTAAGATGGTAGTTTTATATTTCTGGGAGCATATGGTCATAAATGCCTTAAAAGTGGTTGCCAATGACATACACATTATTTGGGGATAGTGATTAACTCCCAGGAGCACACAAATAGACAACGACAATAGAAACACTTTTTTAAAATTTATTTTTATATGTTTTAAGATTTACTTCTATTATTTTTATTACATGAAAGGATGTGTGTGTGTGTGTGTGTGTGTGTGTGTGTGTGTGTGTGTGTGTGTGTATACAGATGTCCAGGGAGGCCAGGAGAGCCTGGAGCTGGTATTACAGGAAGTTTTGAGCCACCTGCTCTAGGTGCTCGAAAGTAAAATTCATGTCCTCTGGAAGAGCATTAACTGTTCTTATGTCCTGAATCAACTCTTCAGGTCCATTATTTGTAATGGTGTGTGTTTGTGTGTGTGTGTGTGTGTGTGTGTGTGTGTGTGTGTGTGTGTGTGTGTGTGTGTGATAGAGTATGTGCCCATGGGTTCAGGTGACTTTGGAAGCCAGAAGTGTTGGAACCCTGGGGCCTAGAGTTGTAGAGGGTTGTGAGTTGTCTCAAGGGGTCACTGGTAACAGAATTCAGATCCTTTGCAAGAAGAGTACACTTAACTGACAAGTCATCTCTCTAGCCCTAAACAGGAAAGACTTAGCTTTAATGTTCACTGACTGACCTTCTATGACATGATGGTTACTTTCTAATTTAAACCTTTTCTTTTTAAAAACAAACTGTCAATATGAGTCCAGTCTAGCCTCCAAGCCACGATGGCCCTCCCTCCTCAGCGTTCCAACTGCTGAGATTCTAACAGGATCTTTTATAAGACTCCATCTTTGTCTCACCACTGTGACAAGGGACATCGTTCCTACCCAGTTTCTCAGAAGGTTATTGACAAAACACTCCAGCTCCATTTTAAGCAGCCTGCTTGAAAACCTCATCTGTTAACTTTTGAATCACATTATGGGCCACATGTCAAATGACCTTTTTATGTCCCACTCAAGTTTCTCCCCAGAGCTCTTTGTGTTTATAGTTATATTCATTTATTAATAATAAAACAACATGCAGAGTCAATAACAATGCATTTAAAGCTTTCAGATTTGAGTCAGATATTATAATGGGGATATGAAAAAAATAAAATAAACTGTCTCTCAATAGCTGGGTGACATGGTTGAGTAATTTGGTCTCTGGTGACAGGTGAGATGAGGCTTCATCTCCAGTGTCTTTGTAGAAACGAAGGAGAAACTGCAATATATACAACTAATACTGGCCAGGACTCTTGAAGGAATGACTGGGCCAAGAGGTTCTCCTAAACATAGTCCTTCTACCCTTGAATCAGAGCATCTTGTTGTCCTCTGTAGGGTGTCCAGGGATGAGAGCCTAGGATTCTGACTCCCACAGAAGCAGGAACATAAAATAATGAGCTGTGTAGTTGAACTGTCTGAATTTGTAAGATAGTTGACTTTGCACAGAACACTCTTGCTTCAAGTCTTGCTCCTGTTTTTATCAGAATTTCAGTAATAGATGAAGTAGCGTGTGTGGATGATGGGCATTTCGGTCACTCCCTTATTGAACAAGTATTGGACAAGTGGACCACAAAAATAACATGAGGCTTAAGCATAAGTGAACATTTCAATAAAAAAAGGTACACATTTATAATATAGGAAAACATATTGGCTGTGACCTCAGGCTCTGGAGCACTCGCTTCTGCCTATCCTCTTTAAGCAAACTTGGGAAGTTTATTAATACCCCTGAATTACATCATGAGTTAACTAGGCCAATAACAGTAGTACTGACATCATATGGTGATATCAGAATCCAATGAGTCAGCACCCTCAAAACACCCTCAAAATACTAACCCTACACTTGAAAGTGAGAAGGTACTTAATAAAGTTAAGTATGATTACTATAATAAAAAATTGTGTGTCTTACTCAACCACCATCAACCTCATAAAATAGATCTTAAAAGGAATTTAAGTGGTGAGATCATCAGAGTAAAGACTTCACTCTGGCAATGGGGGCCAGAGAGGGTTATTATTGTTGGGGCTGTGTGAAAACACAGGGGGAATGTGACAGGCTGTGAACTACTAAGCAGGGCCTCAACAGATGTGAAATCCCAGAACTCACATGAACTCAAACATCCACCAAACTGTAAGAAACAAATTTACACTGTAACTAAGCTTGCCAGTCTATGATACTCACCAATGCCCAAATGAAATACTGCCCTCTTGGACTGTATTTGATGAGTGAATCTCTATATCAGAGCCCACCCCAGCCAAACCCATCCAACACTGCTCTGAGAACATCTTTATTGCATAGTATCAACAAAAAAATCTGGTAACCGATCCTATTTCTACTTATACTGTACTTCTAGAAAGTTCAGAATCCAATGTTGTCCAAGTCAGGTAGCAGAAGGTATTATTTTTTCCTAAGCCATGTTTTGCTTTATCTACAAATTTTTGTCCTTTCGAACCATCTGACCCCCTTCTTTCTTATTTTACATTATGCATTTCTACTTTGGCAGTTTAATGAGATAAGGGGTATGGGCTAGAAAGTAGAAACAGATTGGATGCTGAAATTCAGTGTGTGTATCCTTGTACAAGGCCACAGAGAAAGCACAATCACAGACACCAGAGAAAGCGATGCAGAGGGAGCAGAGGGCAGAAAAGCAAGCAGATGTTTGTGGCTTACAGCTGTGGCAAGTGGCTCCTGTGTACCCTGTGTTGGTGCAGTTACAGTAGAAGGTGCTCCAAGACTGAGAACATTCCCCACCGTGCTCACACGAGTTGGGCAAACACCTAAGAGAAAGAGAAGAAACTGTCAATCATGGTGAGGTGCAATATAATATTGAGCCTTCCTATGTGGTTATGTGAAACAAGGATGTTGAACACGTGGAGAGCAAATTCCACATGACCACTGGTTACACAGTGTGGCACTGAACCACTTTGCACACAGAACTAAACCTCGGGTCATTAAATTCATTTGGGTTCGGCCAACTCTCAAGTAGCTCTGACTACTTAATCTAGAACATTTCTCACCATATCACAACTCTGTATTTTCCCTATGTGACATCAGTACTAGCCAGAATATCAGCAGCTTACATGAAATAGGATTTCATCATTCTGAATTACTATACTTCTTGAGTATGGAAAGGGAGATTGACTGAGGAAAGGGTAAAAAAAGAGGGAAAGGAGACAAAGAATGTCTTTATTTACTCAGTCTGCAGATCTAGAAATGTCCAAGAATACTTGCTGTAAACTTGTATATGCTGAGCAGTGTTGGTGTATTCTCTGTTTCTCAACCTAAATAACAAGGACTGCCCTGGTGATTGTAAATTACCAAGAGAAATAATGGCTCCACTCAACAATGGAGCACAGTAGGCTTACCCTCTTGAGGTAGCTCAATTCCAGTATTAAATCATAATGCATCCTTTTAATCATAACCTGTGTTTGAGAAGCTATATCATGCATAATTAACAAAAAAAATCAGAGGAGCATTTGAAACTAACAGGGAACAAAAAAGACAGCCTAGTACATTGTCTTCTTTGATTCCAGGCTTTGAAAAGCTATGCAGGGTTCAAGCAGGTCAATAGTCAAAAGACTAAATAGTTGTGTTTAATTAAAATATTTTTTTTCAATTTATATGCACCACTTAACCTTTAAAAATGGTGTATATTAATTGAAAAACAGCATGATGCTACAGATAATAAAAATGTTACATAATGAATCAGATTACATTATATATATGTATACATATACATCATATCACATATCCACTTAATATTTTAGGATTTATTCATTTTTAAGTGTGTGTGTGTGTATTTGTGCGTGGTGAGTGCAGGTGGCTGAGGAGGCCAGAAGAGGGCATTGGGTTCCTGGGAGCTCGAGTTTTGGGTGGCTATGGACCACCTGAGATAGATGCTAATAACCAAACACTGGTCCATGCCATAAGTAGCCTTTGCTTTTAACTCATAAGCCACATTTCCAGTTCCTAGATACCTAACATTTCTCATTGTTTGTTTTTGTGGCAAAGACAGCTAAACCTGGTTTAGTATAATTTTTCAAGTTTTTTATGACTTGTGTGGTCTATTGTCTGTACCTTTGCTGTCTAGATTACTGTTACTTCTCCCAAGGTTACTAAGTCATTAGAAAACAAATAGTTATTAAATTGTGTGGATCTAAATAGACTGCTTTTTAAAATCAAAGGGTCAGATGTGTCATTTGGCACAGGGACACAGTGAGGATTGTCTGAGAATTTGTGGAGAAGAGGCTGGGGATTTTCTGCTGTAGACTAAAATACTCTGGGTGGAGTAAGATGGTTCCAACATGGATGGAATATCTTTGGCTCAGCGTGGATGAACATTACCTAAGTTGTTTGTTGGCTATACTTTCTGGCCTACCTTTCCCTGGGTCATTTCCATTAGCAAACTTTAAGTTGTGAGTTATCTCTTTGTCCCTTTGAGAATAAATCTTCTCCAACCTTTTATCAGTCTCCAGACCCAGGAAAAGCCCTCTGGAGAACTACCCTTTGAGATGCTGGGATGCAAATATCAATGATACAACATGAATATCCTATCTCCATAGATGGATAGGAATCTAATTAATTTCCAAAAGTGCTGGATGGCAAACAGAAGTAACATTGACACTCAGCTGTTAGGAAAGAAGTCTTCATTAAATTGTTTAGACCTGAGGCAGGAAGGGAAGACAGGAGAACATAAGGGCCCCAGGAAGGAAAAATGCTAGTCCTAGAATCTATCTATGTTGTTTTCTGCTGAATAAGAGTCAGGAAACTTCAACACAAATGACACATTCAGAATTTCATAGGGGGTTAGCAGGATGGCTCAGAGGCTATAGGCATTTGCTGCAAGCCTAGTGACTTGAGCTTGATTCCAAGGACACACATGGTATAAAAAGAGACTTGATTCTTGAAAGCTATCTTCTGCTCTCCACATGAAAAACACACATGCACACACACACACACACACACACACACACACACACACACACACACACGAATACAAAAGTGCACATACAAATGTAATTTAAAATTTTTAAAAATCTATGTCATGCTTATTTTTTATAGATACATCCCAAATGAAAGCCTGACACATTCTTACTCAGGGTCAGAATTAACATGCCTTTGAGTTTCACTGTATCTGCATTCCTGTCTTCCCTGAACCTAAATAACATACATGCTAAAAATGTTACAGTTTCTGTCACAGAAGTAGATGATTTATGATAAGAAAAATAAATAAGTTAGGTTGTTAGCTTGTGCAGTTTAAAAAAAAAAACTTTGCTGTAAATTGCATCCTTTGATCAACATTACTTAGGAAGCTACAGAATTATCCATGGGTGTGTGCATGTGTGTTCGTGTGTGCATGAATGCATGAATGCACTGGTGTGTGTATGTGTGTGTGTCTTTGCTTTTTGTTTTTTTATTTTTTATTTTCAGGGGAGAGTGCAGTGTGAATGCAGAACACCATTACCACAAATTATGCAGTCGAGTTTCCTGCATCTGGGGAAATCGCAGGGGTCAGCACATCCAGAGTGCAATGGATCAGTCTTGCCCTGGGAAAACCACTTTGTGATCATGGTGTCTCCTCTGCCAGGTAAGTATGTATGTATGTCTTTGTAAAGAAAGTCACCTCTCCCTTTCAATCTTTATCTCTCAGCTCCCACCCATGTCTTCGTGTGTCTCTTTCTCTCTAAACACCAATACTTAGATAAAAGTGTGTACTACTATTGCCCCTCTCTCAATAAACTCATTAGCTCCATTCACTTGGACTTGTCCTGAACTCTTTTCAGTCAAAACTCTAATGTTAGCTAAGTGGAGATCACTAATGTAGGGTCGCTCAGGCTACTGCTGGTAGTGCAGCATTCAGTCTCCCCACAGTTACTGACACCACATGTTTTTAAAATCTGCATGTGTGTGGTCCATGGTGTGTGTGTTGTGTGTGTTGTGTGCATGTGGTGTATACATTTGTGTTTGTAGGTGCACATGCACGTGTGTGTGTGTGTGTGTGTGTGTGTGTGTGTGTGTGTGTGTGTGTGTGTGTGTATGTACCTATAGAGGCCAAAGGGTGACACCGGTGACACCGGTGACCCTTGATGGCTTTTCATCTCATCTATGTTTTTCTGAGACAGGATCTCTCATAGAACTCAAGTTCATTAGCTAGCTAGACTGGCTGACCAATGAGCTCTAGGCATCAACTTGTCTTTGCCCTACCTTCACCCCCAATGCTGAGGTTACAGAAGGATGCCACCATGCCCGGACTTGTGAGGCAAACACTTTACAGACTGGGCCATCTCCAACCCTAACATCACACTTGAGTAAAACTGTCAAAGATAGCACTTGGTTTAGAGGTATTTTAGGGACAATATTCCTAACGCAGGCAAAATATCAGGAATAAAAGACAATTGTGAACTTCCAGATTAGATTCATATAACTGATTAGACTATAGATCCTTTCAAAGATTAGAATGAATCTTATTGAGACAAGGCTTCCACTTCTCTCATCCATTTTCAATTAAAAAATAAATAAACTCCAGAGCCTGCCAGAGCAGATTTGTGGTGGACTTTCTGCATCTTCTTTTATCACAGCTGAAGGGGGAAACTGACGCTTTGCTTATAGGCTTCTTCCAGTGTTAACTGAAAATAGTGTTATTGATTTTTTCTTGATTAAAAAATAGATGTCCACTGTACACAGAACAAACCATCCAAGACAGGAGAGAGGTCACCTGTAGTCTCACTAGAAAAACTCACTACAAACATGACCTTGTATTCATACATACAGTCTTTATTTTTCTGGTGGGGGTGGGTTGTTGACACAGGGTCTCACTCTATAGCTCTGGCTGTCCTTGAACTCACTATGTAGAACAGGCTGGCCTTCAAACAACAGAGATCCACCTGCCTCTTTCTCCCAAGTGCTTGTGCCACTACAGAGGGCACACAAACACAATCTTAAAGCAGTTCTTCTTTGGAATCTGTTCTTCGGCGATCCAAAAAGTAAATGATGTATAAACCTCTACACCCATTAATTTCACACATACTTCCGTATTCTGAAATAGATTTGCAGGGCCCCATTCAGCACGCTATTATAACTGATTTAACTTTTGAGCATTTCAACTCAAGGACAATCTAGTTTTTTAAAAAAAAATATTTAAAACTATTAAACTGCAGTAATCTTAGTTTATAATCAAATCAGAAAAGGACAGAGGTGACCTTTCTTTAAAAGCTGTCAAAACTGTTTTTCAAAGGGACAGATTCAATGCTTTTGCCTAAAATTCAAGCAAGGAAGTCTATAATCGCCATGGTGTACAGATTGTTTCTTGTTGACCTTCTTCCAAAGGCTAACTGGGCCTACTTTTCTCCATTCAAACTAGTCAGGTAAGGCTTTTCACATTCGTAAATAAAATGTGAAAGACTGAATTGTGAATTTTACTAAATTCATTATATGGTAATTTTTGCCAGCTTGTAACCTAAGGTGATCTGCACTTCATGGTGGAGCTCTTGTCCTCACCAAGGGCTCTGAACAATTGCATTGTACACATTCCTCTTTGCTAGTCATTCCAATACAAAGTAAAACAATCCATCAACCCATTTTCTCGGGCTTCTAAATCTTTTTCCTAGACATTTCCATCACGATTTTCATTGCATGTGACTTTGAACAAACATATCCATCGCCATACCTAAACCTGAAGTGACAGGCAACATTTTCATTTAGCCAGATTCTCTGTCCCACACAATTTCAATTTCAAAGGCTTTCATGGGATGTAATGCTTGGCTGGAATGAACGGTATTGAATTTAGATCTAGAACATTATCACATTCAGGGGAACCTAACATTAGTTACCTGTACATCTCACATCCTCAGAGCAGTAACTAATGCAAACTCTCTCCTCACACAACTCACTCACCAAGCTATTCTTCACAGAGCCATGCTTTCTATGCCAGAAGAGATAGAATGAGCATATTCAAATGCTTGCAACAAACATGCTCAGAGAGGCTTGGTAGGCTTATGGGCTTCCATGGAAAAGAGAAGGGCAAGAGTAGAGGATTAGGGGTAGAAACTCAGACACTGAAAGGGGAAGGATGAGCCTCGCTAGAAGATGGTACAATGAACACTAGGAGTGAAAGGCCAAGGGTTGGCCAGTGTCTGTGAGTTGTGAACCATGGAGCTGGTAAAGCTAGGAGGGAGGTGCTGGGTGAGTGAGGCCACATTGATGGATCTTGTCCAAACCTTCTCCTGCTTCTTATCAGAAGTCTGCTGTCAGATGCCATTTGAGACTAAGCATACAGCTACAACTTTCATGGAATGGTATGTGGTGTCAATGCCTGAGATAGTGACATTCACCAGTCTTTTGATATTCTTAAAGAGTTGATAACAAAAGGCATAATTAGTAGGTTCTCCAAACAAATGTCGTAGATCCTGCCAACTTAGTAAGTATTTACATGGACAAACCAGCTAGGGGTGTCCCAGCAACACCTGCTCCAGATTTGGGACAGGGACAGCTATTAATCCTTTCATTCTGCCATGTCCCTTAGCTAATACAGTCTCAGGACTTAGGGGAACCCTGCTTCATGTCCACAGAAGAGGAAGAAATCACATCTAGAATAGAGTGTATACTGGGTGGCTGTATAAAGAATATACATGTATATGTAAAGAGCATGAAGATGACTTTATGGAGTATGGGTATGATGATGATAGTTTATATGAACATACATGTGAATGTCCATGTATATATCAACATGTCCAGTCATGTGACATGTAAATGAGTATATATGTGTGTGAAACACAGTGTGTGAGGATTATGAGTTTAAAGCACATTAATGAAGAGCTATGTAAGCATAAGTAAGTGTCTCTGTATTTATGCCTTTATGTGTAACTTTGCTACTACTTAAACCCAGTTATACTTTTTTTTAATTTTATTTAATTTTATATAACAAAGTCCAATTAAATGAAAACAAACATTTATACACAATATTTGGGAATTTGGGTGTCGTTCTTTCCAAACTACTTCCTGCTGGTAAGGGGCACTGTCATGGGGGATTCGAAGAAGATTCAGATATCCTGGCTGTAGTCTGTAGGGCTGTTTTGTCCAGCTGTTTTGAATGTAGGATCACCTTGTACTCTGTTTCAGGCGGTCTGGCATGATCAAACCCCAGTTATACTTTTTAAAAAGTGAAAAATTAAAAAGATTGTATTGTATTATGTTCCCGTCAAATTTTAATGTTACCATTTATCTTAAATTGTAATTCATTAAACTATCGAATGATCCATTTATTATTCATGGATGAAAGATTAACTACCCATAATGCTAATATGCACCCAGAGAGGCTGCATGTCACAGCATGGATGCAGTTCTGATTTCCTGTCTTGGTGGCTGGGCTCTGTGTTTTCTTAGTCAACTTTACCTCTCCATGCTTCAACTTCCATATTCCTCAGACACAGTCACTGTCAAGATTTCATGAGGGTAGATTTAAACACTCATCATCATTATATGCTTAGTTCAGGGCCTGGTACATGGATTTAAAACTATAGTGGCATGACACTCTATCAAACTCAATAATTAAAATTGGCAGCCTTGGTTAGAAGCACAGCTGGTATGATTCCTTCACTACAGTTGTCCAGGCCTACCTACAGTTTTTAATTATTACTAACTGTTGGTTATTATGTCAGAAGTTGCTCATCCTGTACAATTAACTATCAAATCCTGCTTTGCCATGTCCTGTGCCCATGTTCCTACTGAGTTTATGGGGTCACTCTCACACCTTGATCAGGATAACACCCCAAGCATTTCTAGAGGCAGTGATTCTCCTGCTCCCACACAGAGGACAGTAATGGGATGTGACAATGCACATTAGAATAGGCACAAGTCATGCTCCCCTGCCTCTGCTGAATAGATCCAACTATTGGGGTATCCAAACACAGCTTGATAACAAACCACAAAGGTCTCTGTATCTAAAAGTCAATTTTACTATTGGGGTGACACAGTGTATTGAGTTTAATGACTTAGTTTTTGTACATTTGTGGCCTTCTAGAACTATAGCAGGACAGGGAAGATGGCACAGCAGTTAACTTGCTTGCTGTATAGTATAGGCATAATAACCTGCATTGAGATTCACATAACCCCAATAAAGCTCGATGCAACCTGGTAGCATTTCCATATCCTCAGAAATCCTACAGGAGGTTGAGAGATGGAGACAAGAGAGTTCCTGGAAGCTCATATTCCAGATAGCTAGAGACCCTTTCTAAAACAAGGTAGGGGGCAAGAAGAGACACACAGGTGTCCTCTTAACTCCACAAACACAACATGGTATATGTGTGTACCCATGCTCACACACAACACATATATGCTCACTTCTTATAGGTTGGTAGCATATTTATGTGTAATTAACAGTCATATATCTTATACCTATTATTAATATTATTATTTGAAATATGTTATATAAAGCAATTGCTACACTTGCTTATTTTAATTTTTTAATTTTAATTTGTTTTTTTTTTTTTTTTTTATTTTTCAAGACAAGGTTTTTCTGCATTTCTTTGGAGCCTGTCCTGGAACTTGTTATATAGACCAGGCTGGCCTCAAACTCACAGAGATCCTCTGCCTCTGCCTCTGCCTCCTGAGTGCTGGGATTACAGGATTGTACTACAACATGTGTCTATATTTTACTTTTAATGTAGATACAATTCATTTCTGGTGTAACAGATAGTAGTGAGAAAAGAATACACACACACACTCTCTATCTATCTATATATATATATATATATATATATATATATATATATATAAATCAAAATTTTGAATAGGTCAATGAAGAGATATGAGGCTGTCCTTACCTGTCTGAGATGCCACATGAGTCTATCTGAAGGTCACTGAAGTTGCCAAGGGACCCCTGCTGGACAGCTATCAGATCTACCATTTTGTTGTTGATAGATATGAGTCTCATACAGCCTTGAAATCCACCTAGTGGGCTCTTACACTGGGATCCAAAGCTTTTGTCTGGACAACCTGATGAGAACAAAGCATTACAGAAAATCAGAATTCAGCATCACAGCAGAATTTATATAGAAAAATAAATAAATAAAACAGACATTTTATTATCGTCTGCATTAGTGGAGATAAATAAACACGCTAGAATCATTATTAGTTTCATCTAAATTCATGCAAAGCATCATCTTTCCATAAAATGCAAAGGAAGTCTCTAGAGTTGGAATAATTGTGTGCACCAACTTAGCTTAATCTAAATTTAAAAGTTTAGCTATTGGCTCTAAAATCCTAAATGTGTCAGTCAGCAGTGTCGAATCTCCTATAACTTATGAGGGAACTTAGTCTTTAGACTAGAAAACTCAAAATATAAACTAGCATAAATATTCACTGATTTTAAGAAAAAATAAATTGATAATAATGAAATGTATTTGTACTTAAAGCTAACTAGGAAAGGGGATATAGTGACCAAAAATAAAATTACTAACTCTTTATTTGATTAAATACTTTATTTCCTTATACATGTAAGAGCCACATATATATTTGACAAATATAAATGGCCAATTGTCAAAAAAATATTTCAGTTTGATTTTATTTATTCTTTGGCTCAGCAAAGAATGTTCTCTTTATGTCAATTTGTTTCTAACATTTAAGATTTGTTCTCATTATTTAAATAACAAATATAACATTAACCATTACAGTCTGGGTTTAATGATGTTCTAAATGCTTATTCAAGTGAAGTAAATAATTTTATGGAGTATGAGCACATATATTTCACTTACATATTTTCCATCAATCTTTCTTTGCTGCTATGGCTGTCAGCCACCACTACAATTTCACAGAATTAGAAGGGAAGCAGCAACTTCTTAATTCCTCTCTGCTAGTTTTCCACCTGAAAATTTCCATTACAATTCAATATTTTCACCAAGGATAGCTCTCTATCATGCTTTCTTTTCCCAGCAAAATACATTTACTTGGCAAGGAAAAGCTAATAATATTTAAAACTATTAGCAGGGACTCTAAAATATGATATTTTGATTTTAATGCAAATTTCAAAGTTTCAAATTTAATATATCAACAACAGATCACCACAGCTTTTTGAGTAGTAATTTGAGGTACATAGTAATGTATACATTTCTAGTAATTAATATTCTTCTGGACCATAGTATAGTGTTGTATAAGTATATCCACCTATGAAATGCTTCCTAGAGTGGATAAAAGAAGCTCACAGGATACAGCAATCATAAAAATACTGTGAGGCCCACCCTTTCACCAGGTTATAAACAGTAAAAAAAAAAATGCTGCTGGGAGAAGCAGTTCTGGTGGAGTTGCCTGGAAGTCTTGATGTAATACAAGAGATACAGCTTCAATGAGCAGTCATCTATGCCAGAGTAAGCATTCTGCAATGCAGCTGCCTTTGAACCACCCATGTTCTGGTAAAGAGCTGTAAAGAGCTCCAACACACCCATTGGTTCATGAGCTACACTTGAATTAATTTCTTTGGTCTGTTGTAGGTGTCCCATTAGGAGCAAAGACACTTTTGCTCAATTTTCCCAGGAAAAGCCACAAAGCACACAAAGTTTTTTGCAATCTTCTTGTAGATGACCTATTACCCAATTAAGAATGACAGGATAGAGCAGAAAGGATAATAGTTCAAGAACACTTGACAGTTCCCATACACCAGGAGTGTAAACAACTTGGCTACTCTCTTCTGCGGCTGATGTTGCCTAACATATCTCAACCTACTTTACAATGTATTAAATCATGCAGTATATCTATAGGAAACAAGATGAGGTAAATTGAATCACAAAGAAAGAAAATAAACCTGTAGACAAAGTCAAGAGTCAGATCATGGGTACTTCATATTCCAGGATGCAATGCTCATCAAGCAAGAAATTTCAAAAATAAAGAAGGGTTCAATCAGGTTTGTCTAGTTAGTCTTTGAAGCCTTTGAGGAGGAAACAATGGGGTAATATAACGCAAAACAGGGAGAAATTGACCACTGTATCCATTTGAGATGAAAGTTTTAAAGTAAGAAGGTTGCTGGAGAAGTTTTAATGCTGAATTGATGGCTGGATCCATTACCAGAGGAAGTCATTGTGTTAAGTACCTCTGGAGATGACACATAAATTGCCACCATATGCTGCTGTTCCAGAAGTGAGATGCTGTTTCATAGTGGTATGGCCTGGTCCTCGGATATCCTATGCTTGCTTTATACAGGAAACTTGAATGTGAGAATTCTGCATCTCAGTTGGCATCCCTGGTTTGTGACACATGCTGTGTTACCCATCAAAAAGATTACATAAAGGAATTTACAGTAATTACACAAGCATCTATCCTCCATGTGGAAAACCAAGATTTAAAATGTTTGGCTTATAAATGATCAAAGCTGAGCAGTGTTCCACAGTGCTCGCTGATTTTTTGAAATACACTCATCTGAAAGAAGAAAGGTTACGAGAAAGGTGAGCAAGACTGGGTAAATAGTGAATGTTTTGTGTTGCATACAGACCTCTGTTCTTTGAGAAGTAGCCCTCCATTCTAACATCCCTGAGGCAGGCACTCTGAAGACAAGAGTAGAGAAAGAACCCAGGCCCAGGCTGTTTTGGCAGATGAACTCTTCACAGTAGAGTATGACAGCTGGGTTAGTATGACTGGATTTTGACACCATAACTTTGAACTTGAGGTTGAATTTGGAGGCAAGCCAAGGAGAGTCCTTGGGTAGTTTCTCAGAGCATGGGATTTTTATTTTAAATCATGCCTATCAACTGGTAAAGAATTAACTGCTGCAGAACTGTGTTCTACCCAGATAAATTAAGCTCCAGTGATAAAGGGATCCCTTTCTACATAAACAAAAGATTCTCAGTGGTGAAAAACTGTGACACAATGTTTTGGAGGAACACAAAACTTTCAGCTAGAAATTTATAAATAACAGGAAACTAAAATGAACTCTTAATTCAGATAGTGGTCATCTGAGATGTCCTAGGGGTACAAACATGCATGATAAGCTTATTATTTCTTAAGGAGAAATATGCAAGAGAAGACTTGGAATTTATTAATGTCGTTAGAGGGATTAGGAGATGGTTCTGTGTATAAGAGTACTTGTACAACCATGAGCAACTGAGTACAAATCCCCAGAAGTCAAATAAGAGCTAAGCATAACATTGCACATGACTTTTACCCAAGTACTATGGAAATAGGTAGAGATACAAGGATCTCTGGAGCTTACTGGATAACAGCCTCTCTCTAGGTTCAAGGAGAGACCATGTTTCAAAGGAATATGCTGTAGAGCAATAAGGTGAAATGCCTGACAACATTCTTTGGCCTTCACATACACCAGTAGTCACTTGCACCTGTACATGTTTGTGTGTGTGTGTGTGTACCATATTCACACTTGTATAAACAAAAATACACCAAAAAAGTCATTGGTATTCCTTAAATATACATATGATCTTAAACATGGACAATAAAGTAAAGTATATGTGGGGTGTTTATAAAGCTCTGTGTAACTTTGCAATATTTCAGTAAATCTTGGCATATCCAAACCATTTTAGAATAGTATAGAGTGTGACACGTGTATCATAATAAACAAAAATACAGCATGCATATATTTTACTCTCAAATATTATGGTGTGAATGAACACAATAGCCAGAGAAAATGCATAAAACAGCCAAGTATTACTAAATCTGAACATAGAGGACATAAAATGCTGCAAGAAAGACAATTCTATTTTCATGATTTATTAACAGTTTTATCCAAGCTTCTATTTTTATGTTGTATCCTTTAACAATATGCTTGGTGTTGGGTGCTTTTTATTTTCTTATCTCTTACTCTGTTCTAAATCTTTTCCTTTGGATTGAAAGCTCTGGGTTAGCCTATTCCATATACCTATTATTGATTGAAGACTGTGTTCCCTATAGGTAACTATGAAATCCACTGGGTTTTGTAAATCAGCTTAGAATACAAATTTCAGTCTGCGAAACAATCATATCATTTAAAATTTTAATCTTTTGTTGCCTTTTGCAGTATTGGATTATATAAGTTTTGTTTCTTAAATATTTTACTTTAATTATGTATACATGTGTGTGGGTGTGTGCATGTGGGTGTAGGTACTTCAGAAGTCAGAAGAGGGTGTTGAATTCCATGAGGCTGGATGGAGTAACAGGTAGTGTGAGCCTCCTTATAGTTGCTGGGAGCTGAATCTGGGTCCTCTGCAAGAGTAGCCAGTGCTCTTAACCACCACCAAGTCAATCTCTCTGGCCCTTTGTTTTTTTTTTTGTTTTGTTTTGTTTTTTTTTTTTTTGTTTTGTTTTTTTTTTCTTCTTCTTCTTCTTCCTTGTTTCACTTTCATTGTAATATTAAAAAGCAATGCAGGAAAGAAAGAGACCATGTGACAGAGCGTGGGTGAAAGGTTTTTTATTGGAGGAAAGTGAATGGGAAAAGTGATGAGGGAGAAGGGGAGACAGGCCTCTGGGGACAGGAGCTGCAGAAGAGAAGAGAGAGAGAAGGATAGAGAAGGAGGTAGAGAGACAGGCAGGGAGGAGATGGGAGTAGACAGGGCCTTTTTAAAAGGGAATGTAGTGAATGTGCACAGGTGGTGCTCTTAGTGGCTGCAGCTGAGGGCGCACCCTGTCACAACCCTGAGGGCAGGCCAGTATAGATGCCTGGATACCAACAACTTTGTTTTGATTTGTTCTTTAATTTGCATTTAACCTCTGCAGAACTGGTCTGTATCTTTATAATAATTCTTTTATTAATTAATTTGTATTTAAATTAAAAACAATCTTATTATACATACCAATCCCAGTTCCCTCTCCAATCCCACTCCCCTCCCCCATCCACTCCTCAGGGAGGGTGAGGCCTCCAATGTGGCATCATCAAAGTCTATCACATCATTTGGGGCAGGACCTAGGCCCTCCCCTGTGTTTCTAGGCTGAAAGAGTGTCCCTCCATAGGGAATGGGCTCCCAAAGCCCATTGTGCACTACGATAAATACTGGTTCCACTGCTAGAAGCCCCATAGACTGCCCAGAACTCCCAACTGACACCCACATTCAGGGGTCCTGGTTCTGTCCTATGCTGGCTCCCCAGCTGTCACACTGGGATCTGTGCGCTCCCACTTGCTCAGGTCAACTGTTTCTGTGGGTTTTCCCAGAATGGTTTTGTACAATAGTTCTTAGAAAATAATTCTCATTTTATTGGTAATTATTGAAAATTGAAAATCATCATTCCACATCAAAAAAGATTCTATAATTAGTCATTATTTCTAAGATTTATTTCATTTTTAAGTTTGTGTGGGTATATTTATGTGCATCAAAGGCTGAAGGTATCAGATCCCCTAGATCTGTAGTTACAGGCAGCTGTGAGATGCCTGCCATGGGTGAGAAACCAAACTGTGACCCACTAGAAGAGCAGTGTGAACTTTTAACACTGATGTATCTCCCTAGCAACCACTAAACTATAGTCACACAATAGCCAAACAATGGTAATACTAAACTGTAGTCCTTATGTGAGAATGCTTGCCTCCATTTCAGTTGTAAAAGCTCCTTCTCCTGCCATGACTTTGCTTTGCCAAGCTTTTATTTCAGTCAACCATCCATGAGACGGCTAAACACTTTGTCCCTGTTCCCTAAGGAAAAGGCTGATGCTGAAGGCTGGTGACCTGATTTTATCAAATGCACCAATATATTTGTTTTTCTTTAGCAAAGAGAGTGAGTTGCTCTGACTAATCAGGTTAAAGTATTTTTCCATTGGAATAATACTGCTTTTTGTACTGGGCAGTGCAGAAGCAGTAAGACAGCTCTAGGGAAGCTAAGAGTCAGATTAGAAAAACACCACAGTGACATCAGCCCATCAAATCAGAAGATAATGTACAAGGGCCATTTAACACTAGGACAATCTAACAAGGCTTGAAAATAAGAACTGAAGAAAGTGGCCTACTTAAAATAAATCTCATTATAGAAACTATAAGCATAAGGAAGTCTGCTTTATAGGAATTCATTTGAGGTCATAATTTGTCATTTTGATCCCCTCAACATTTCCATGTTTAAAGAGAGTTAAAATTTAGTCCTGGGTTAGCAGGGTTAGCACTGCCCAAGGCATAGGAGATACCAGCCCTAAGACACAGGAGTGGAACAAAAATGTGATTCAATGAACCACATGATCAGACTCCTTTTCTTACCTCCAAAATAAAAGGTGCCTCCTGGATTAACCTGCTCAGGCCCCAGCCACGGAGAAGCAGGGGTGATATGGCCATCCACGGCCACACTCAGGTGATTCCTTTTAGCAGACAAGGAGACAGAGTGCCACTGACCATCATCTAAGCCAGCACCTGGGGAAAAGAGCAGAGGAACATCTCTCAACAGCAAACACAAAGCAGCCAGTGACTTGTGGACAGCAGTAGACATTTTAGATTGACTGGAATACTTGAATCTACTGAAGGCTCACCTTCCCTGAGGCACATATTACAAGACACCCAGGGATGCCTGGACCACATATATAAACTGTGTCTTTGTCTGCATAGACATGGTTATGACAAAGTACATCTTACAAATTAGGCACAGTCAACCATTAGCAGTAGTAACTAAGACTAGAATAGAAAATAAACTGTATGCAATATTTAAGCCCTATGGACTGCTTACTTCTGGAATTTTCCACTTAGTATTTTCAGACCATAGTTAGCCACAGTCACTGAAGCTATGGAAGGTAAAGCTACAGATAACAGGATGCCATTTGAATTGTCCCCCATACCAAATGTGAAGGATATACATATAAACCCACCACTTAGGAGGATGGATGATATAAGAGGATGGATAATATAAGAGTTTGAAACCAGCCTACAAAACATAGTAAGTTGAATATGAGAGAGAGAGAGAGAGAGAGAGAGAGAGAGAGAGAGAGGAGTTTTTAGGATGGTATAAACCACAACTTCAAAGTAGTAGTCCATGTGCCTACAAACTGGAAAGTAGACTCAGAGGATGTTTTAAAACAAGCACATGTGGAAGGGAAAAGCAGTTGTTGGGGATGAAGAAAAAATGGGAGATAGATTTGATTAAAACACATTTGATGCCTATATGAAATTATCACACAATAAAGACATTAAAACAATATATTATATATTAAATATCTTTCTAAAGAACCCCATATAGATTAAAAATAAGGTTTAATACACAGGACATAGATTCCACCTGAGATTGATGGAGAAAAATCTCTGTGACAAGAGGCTCACAGGAACATTTTTCCTCTTAGGAGTAACAGCCTGATGTCTGGCATTCCTTGATTTAGCTTCATGGGAATTTATTTACTATGACTGTCAAAATAACTTAGAATTGATTCACTCTCTTCCTCCCTCCCTCTCTCCTTCTCTGTCTCTCTTGTTTGTTCTATCTCTTTCACTCTCTTTGTATCTAATATACACAGTTCTAATTAGACTCACAATTTTATATAAACATCATGTTGCTATAATAAAAACCAAGGAGCTTCCACTAAAACACAGTCTCTAGCTCTTCCTAAGGTGACACTCAAGTCATTGTCCCTCCTCTCAAAAACAATTAGAACTACAATAGCTGTGTTCAAGGTTAAGTAGGGATAAGGAAGCTAAACTCTCTATGGTGGATTTGCCAGTCAGTCCTACAGCCAGAGAACAATAAGGCCCTAAGAAACCCAGAGAGTCATTTGTAGTTGCCTTATTATGCTGAGTGAATTTCCCTCACAATTGCAGTTTGAGAACACACCCAAACTCATTTAAATTTGTAACATCATTTGTCATGGATGTACTAAAAGGGGTACAAATTCTACCTAGGGTTGAAAGCACACTATTCTATAACCCAATAAAAGAATTTTCTCAGGACCCAAATCTGGATTACTACATGAAAGATGCTCAGACACAGAAGTGAAGAAGGCAGATTGGATACTTTTATACAATTTTCTGACACAGAACTCTACTTAAAAGATAGAATAGAGTTATAGAACCCATGACTGAGTAAGACTGGAATAAATCCATCAAGTGTCCCCATTCTGTCCCTCCAGCTCTTCCTTTAGGAGGCAGCACTCAGAGGGACAAAATTTCACATACTTAATCCACAAGTGCAAGTGCTTCCAGCTACGACTCTGATCCCCGTGTGTCCCCCTAACTTCTCCACAAATTACAGACACGTCCCACATGAATGGCTCAATCTGTTGTTTCTCCTTACATATTCTTTTATTTGTAGAGTTTACTTTTCAAATGCCTATGCTGATGAAGTTTCCAGTTTCCAATCTATTCTATAATGACTGTGAATGAGTGAGTACCTGTGTCTGTGCCTGTGTGAATGCTGGCAAATACAGGACACATTGTGTTCATGGAGGTCAGACAACCTCTGGTGCCAGTCCTCTCCTCCACTTCTTTGAAAGTCTGTTTGTTGTTCACTGAGGCACATGCCAACCTGGCTGCTTTGCTAACTGTTAGGGATTCTCCCATCTCTGATTCCCATCCTGTCACAGGAGCATTGAGATGACAGATACATGCTACCATATCTGGTTTTATTAAGTGGGTTCAGGGCTTCTAACTCAAGTCCTCACTCTGGTTTCCCAAATGCTTAATCCACTGAATCATCACTCCAGCCCTGATTTGCTTTCTTCTTCAGCTTACAGAGATTGATTATGTAGCCCAAGCTGGTTTCAAAATCATAATCATCCTGTCTCAGCCTCCCACATTCTGGGATCCAAGGTGTGTTTGCACAATGATACTTTTCTAACATATTATAAAATGGATATTATAAAACCAAAGGTATATAAAATGCAGGTCTAGGGACTAAAGAGATGGCTAGAGGTAAAGAGCATTGCTTGCTCTTCCTGAGGACCAGGGTTTAATTTGCAGCACCCACATGGTACATCTCAGTCATATGGAACTCCAGCCCCAAAGATCCAATTCCTCTTCTGGCCTCCAGGGGCCCTTCATGGACAAGGTGCACAGGCGAACATGCAGACAAAACATCCACACACATAAAATAAAAAACTGAAAAGGAAACATTAAAAAGTCTTCTAAGCATGTGCTTATGCTTTACAGGGATTTCTTTGTGTAGTAACCATTTCTAAAAGCCTTAAGTCTGATTTCGTATTTGTGGATTCACACAAGCTTACAGAGCTCATGTTGGTCCAAGGATCATGCTTTATGTAGCTGTGCCCTGAGCATCTGTTGATTGGGCAGGGGACAGAATTAAACCAAAGGCTTGGGGAGGCCTTTGGAATCCTACTTTCCATATGGAAGCCAAGTTTGATTATGAACAAAAGATTGGCAGGACAACCCACTCGGCAATTTGGCACCATGAAATGTATCCATTTAACAAGCCAGCAGGTTATGAACTGGGGCCCCACTTTCAGAGAGGTCTTTATAAAGCTTAAATTTTGTGTAATAGACATCATTTACCCATGGAGGAGACTTATTGCCTGTCAACAGGATGGAGTGCTCAAATTAAAATATGGGTGATCCTTAACATACTTCAACTAGCCCTACCTAGTAAATCAGACTCTACTTCACTTTTCTACCTCCCAGCCTGAAAAGAAGTGTTCCCTTTGAAAGGCCATACTACTGTTAAAGGAAGAAACTGTGAACTTGTACTTCTTTCCTTATTAATTATATTACATATAAGTACTATTGCCATCTTATCAGTTATTCTCTCATCACTGTGACAGAACACCTGACTGAAGTGACTTAAGAAAGGAAAAGTTTACAGGACTGAAAAGATGGCTCAGTGGTTAGGAATACTTTCTGCTCTTCCAAAGGACCCAAATTCAGTTCCCAGCACTTGAACTTGGCAGCTCACAACCTAACATAACTCCAGATGCCCTGAAACACTCTTCTGGCCTCTATGGGTACTACACACACACACACACACACACACACACACACACACACACACACACACACATAGAGAGAGAGAGAGAGGGAGAGAGAGAGAGAGAGAGACAGAGACAGAGACAGAGACAGAGAGACAGACGGAGAGAGATTAAAAGAAGGAAGTTTTATTGTGGTTTATGGCTGAAAGGCAAGACAGAATTCAGAATTCCTAGTGACAGGGGTGTGTAGCTCAGATTATTCCCATCCCAGAAGGGAAAACAAAACAAAGCAAAAAAGCAGAAAGGGACCAGATATTTCACACTGAAAACATAATAGCCATCACTCATAATTCCTTTTCTATCCTAGGCATCAAGGCCAGGGCTCTGATGAGACAAGTACCCTACCACTGAGCTATATCCCAGGCTCCACTTACTAGAATCTGGGGAGTGAGTGTATTGTTGCTCTATTAATAAAGTAATAATTACAACAATGAATAATGGTTCACAAGTACTGTTTGGTGTTTTCCAAGTATTGTGTAATTTACATCACAATGGTTATTGCCCTTGTTTAAAGTATGAAGAAAACGAAGCTTAGGGAGAACAAACAATTACCCTGGGTGCTATCCAGCTAGTAAGCAACAAAAAACAAGCCAGAACTTCTTGCCTGATTCTAAAATCCACAATTTTCTCTGCCTAAAGTCAGGTGCTCTCATTATTTTTCTTCATGTCAATCAACTGTGAAAAGGAAGCTGAGCTGAATAGGTGGGCGCCATGCAGGGCCAGAAGGACTGGCGCTATCCAGTTGAACATAAGTAAACTCTCAGAATGCCAACATCAATAGCATATGCCAATAGAATCAAGAGAAGAAACCAAAAACATTTATAGACTACTTGTAGTGGTACATGCATATAATCCTAGCACCCAGGAGGCAGAAACAAGAGAAGGGCTGTAAGTTCCAGGCAAGCCAGCAAGATCTTGTCTCAAAACATCAAAAGAACAAACAAAATATTGGGTGTGCACAGCCCAAAAAGGAAGTAAGATTAATGCATAAACCACAGACACACCAAGCTTCTCCCTCCTCTGAGGATTGTGAATAACTACTGTCACTGAATGTATAATTTCCCACTGGAGAGTCATAGTTTGAAAGATTGGTCTCCAGGTGATGCAGCTTTGGAGGCTGTGTAACCTTCAAGAGGTTACACATAAAGCTTAGCTTATGGAAGCAGATCACCAGGAGCTTGTTTTGGGGGGGTGCTATAGACCACCCCCTAGATGTGACCTCTCTGCTTTCTGACCAGATTTGGTGTCATACATTTCTGTGATGATGAAGTATGCTGCTCCAACATGCCTGTCCATCATGCCAGCAAGATGGACTGAAACTCCCCAAAGCCATGAGCTAAAGCTTCCTCCCTTACACTGCTTCTGCTAGGAATGTTAATCCCACTCTGAAATGGCTTCTGCAACTATTCATTTCTCTTCTGTCAATTACTTCAGCATTATTTCATTTTTTCCATTGTCCTAGATTAAGATTACAAAACTATCAAATCATAGAATTATCCCTGTTTCCATTTAATCTCCAGCAAATGCTTGCTTTCTAGATGACGCTAGTCAAAGAACATAGCCCCAAATTTTATGTCATTCTTAATACTTCTGTGTCAAGCTGCTCATGTGAGTTTCAGTGTACGTTTCTCTTCTTGCAACAAGCAACAGACTCGATGTGTTCAAACTGCAAATATGTTCAAAGGCAATCTTAGGTTGGCGGAACACTGTCTACTGCAAATACAAGAATTGAATAATAAATGAAAGTATTTGCAATTGTAGGTGGTGGAGAGAATAGAATTGTTCTAGAACCTTCTCTTCTCAACCCTTGTCTCTGACTCAAACCACATAACTGTTACATAAATTATAGCAGGAAGTAAGAAGTTTTTATCTGCCTTCTCCTGTGCAATCTGCAGGCCTGTCGTAAATTGCTATAGAAACAATCCAACAGCTCAGCTGCCCTCAGCCTCTGCTAAGTCTGTAACAGGCATCTAGAAAGGAAGATGGATAAAGAAAAACACTAAGCCTGCCACTTAGGGTAGATCCTCTGCAAAGGTGCAAAAGGCAATTATATGTGTGCCATCACTCAAGGAGCCACTGAGGAGTGGAGCCCAGTCCCAAATATATCTCAGCACTCTGAAATCACCAGGAATCCTACATTTACTAACTATCGTCACTGGCCAGAATTAAGGGCCCAGATCACTAGATAGCTCCTGTCCAGGTGAAAATATGGGGGTCACTGGTAACTATCATTTCAGTGGAGGGCAGGAGTTTAAAGGTGACAGGTTTACAGTGTGAAGAGAGGAGGGGTTCCCAAGGAAAGGGGATGAGATGGACTGAAAAGATGGCTTTTTTTTTTCCTGGGAGGACACACTAAGGGAGTTGCCAATAACACAAGGAGTGCAAGTGTCTATCAATACAGCAGACACATTTCAGACACATATGCAGGTTTACCACAGGCAGGTTCTGCTATGGGGCTGAAAAGTTTGTTCATGGAACTGATTTCACCATTAGGCAAAATACTAGAACCATTGTAGGAACTTCAAATTTGAGAACAAAGAATTTAATTTTCAGTAAGAAAATGTAACTATTGTTACATTAGGTCCTTGATGTCATCTGGATTGGTTTTGATTTCACTTCTTTAACAGTGACAAGAGATGAAAACATCTTGTGTCATGAGGGATTGCAAAGCACTACTAAAATGTCTCATGATTTAAGCTAATATACTATTATTAATATTTCAAGAATGGCTTAGGTTCACATAATATTTTCAAATAATTCCAAATGACAATTTTCCAATTGTACATTTCATTATAAATTTATCCTGATAATTCAAATATATGCATAATTCAGTTCTTTCTCTATATAATTTAGTTTTTTCACTAGAAAGGTAAAAATATTTTGAATTTTTCAAACTCAGAATTGGGAATTTCTATGACTAATAATTATGAAAGCTTAGGCCGTCCTTATATAATGAAAAGCTTTAGTATAATACCTCAAATGATCCCTAGTTAAAGATCATTTCTTATGGGACAAGAAACTGACCAAGCACTCAACTATCATTTAAGCAATTTATTTGTAAATTAAAAAAAGCTTTTGCTTCACTGACATTCATAAAAATTAACATATATACTATACCCTACTTGGGGTATAGTTCATAATGTTTGACAATCAAATCAATTGCTGTCTTATAATGACTTTCAATTAAGTCATGTATAATCATTGGATTGGTATTATATTGTATTAGATCTTAGAATTATATAAGGATAGCTTCAATAATCGTAGTTATTAGATATATAATTTTGAGAAAAACTAGTAAAAAAAAAAAGAGTGGTGAGAGTTACTAGCCAACATTTGCTATTTTCAATGTGATTATTTTACCAACCTGGCACTCATAGTTAGATTCCTTATTATAAGCTATGAAAATAGTCATATAAAGTCAAATGATATCATAATGGATTATGCCGTGTCTGTATTCAAACATTCATTTAGAGATTTTAAAATCACTCAGGGTATTCTATGCAGACCTATACCTAGTAATTTATTAACCACACATTCCTGTGAAGAGGTTGGAAGTGAGCTAGCTTCATGCAGTTCACTACAGTAATGTTGTACTGAAGCAGTTTCCTTAAGAAGTTGAAAATTAGGCTATGGCTGTAACCACTTCAGAGCACGTCAAATACATCACAATACACTACACACTAATGACAAGCTTACATTTTTAGACTCTCATTTTAGGAGACTCTTAATTATTCATATGACACTGATTAATTTATTTCCTTTTGTCCAGACTACAAATCCACCACATTGAACATTGCATAAAAAAAAAATCACAGCATAGTACCTCTCAAAGATTATAATTAATACTGACTTTCTAGCACTCTCACTTGAACTGCAGTGATACAGGAACACAAATGGCAATAAAAATATACAAACAATAGGCCCCTATGCTGGTTGGCTTCATGTCAAGTTGACACAAGCTACAGCCATTTTGGAAGAGGGATCCTTGGATGAAAATCTGCCCTTACCACATAGGCCTGTGGACAAGTCTGTGGTACACTTTCTTAATTGATGCTTGATGAGAGAAGACCCAGCTCACAGTAGATGGTGTCACTCCTTGTCTACTGGTCTTGGGTGCTCTCTGAAAGCAGACTGAGGAAGGCATAAGGAGAAAGCCATAAGCAGTACTCCTCCATGGCCTCTCCATCAGCTCCTGCATCCGGGTTCCTGCTCTGACCTTCTCCACAGATGGCATGTGGTATGGAAGTGTAAGTAGAGTAAACCTTCTCCCCTCATTCCCTATGGTTATGGTTCTTTGATCACAGCCACAGAAAGCCTAACTAAGCACCACTTACCATGAATTTGTAGATGTGTTTTTCCTATTATTTTAACTTATTGAGAATTATATATTTTTTATTTTACATATAGATCCCAGTTCCCTCTCCCTCCCTCCTTCTTTCCCTCTCACATGTACTCCTCCCACCCTTCCCTCCTACCTCCCCCACTCCACATATAGGTCGATGCCCTCCAGGAGGGGTCATCTAAATCTGTCAAGTCATTTGGAGTAGGGCCTATGACTTCCCTCCTATCTCTAGGTTGAGGGAGTATCCCTCCATGGGGGATTTGCCCGAAAAGTCCTTTTGTACACCAGGAATAAATCCTGGTTACACTGTCTGAGGTCCCTTAGACTGCTCAGGCCTTCTAGCTGAGGCACATGTTCAGGGACCTGAGTCAGTCCCATGCTGGATTCCCAGCTATCAGTCTGGGGGCCCAATAGGAGAGCTATATATTTTTAACTAAGGGACAAATATATCCCTCTGACCTAGACTGAACATCCATTTTCAAGACACATATAAAGTCACCTTATTTTTATTACCTCTAGTTGATAAGAGAATATCATATTATACACAAAAGCAGACCACTTCAATTGGTACCCAAGTGGCAAATTCTTCACAAATCTTTGTCTATGTAAAAATGTATCCAACCATTAAAAGGTACATTTGAATACTAGTATGATGACACAGATAGATATAGGTACCCCTGTGGCCTCTACCATGTTCCACGCCAAGCTGGACAATAGCTATTTAGCAGTCTAATTTTTCACTGAAAGTCATTCTGTCAATTTACTTGTCTGTTGCAGTGCCATTCACTTTTACACTAAAATTCATTTCTTCCTGCTAGGTTGAAGACTTGTCTGAATTAGTGAAAGGGTCATGGGTAGAAATTTCTATTCCCTCATCATTATCAACTATGTTAATAAAAATTTTGAACACTGTAATCATATTTAGAAGAAAAATTGGAACCAAGTTTCTCCAAGGAAGGGGTAGTGATAATCTTATTAACTCAAGATTCCACTTATTAAACAAATATTAATTTTTGATTATGCATGAAATTTATGGAGAGGGGACACAGAGATAATGAAATCTTTCAAACCCATATGCTTTGCCTGCAGGAATACATTTATTACCTGCTGTGATGTCATTGGGTGACTTTCCTGGTTGGTGGAGATTCAGTTTAAGTTTCCCATCGCTGAGCAAGAGGAGAAGACCACCTGAAACCAATTGCAGTTCACAGAAGAGCAGAAGCCCCGCCTTATTCCAGGTTCGGAATTGAAAACTGACTGAGACGGCTTCCTCTTTGGAAGATGCTGAGAGTACCAAGTAACTCCTGGTGCTCAGGAAAGTCAGAGGCACAGACTGTGGTTGTGAGCAAGAAAACGATGTATTTCCCTGAGGACAGAGGACAAGAGCAGGTAGGTAGGTATTCAGCTCATTGCTGCCCACATGGGATGGAATTTAAATACTTGTGAAGTCTGATTATCAGTCTCATATTATTCTAGCTTAAAAACAATTTGCTGTACCATGAAGGTCCAAATATTTGCCTTTTATCTTAAAAGTTCTTGAAGAATGTTCCTAGGTTTTCTCCACATTCTTCAACTTTTGTATAGACTTGAAAAGCCAATGAGATCAACTTTATCAAAAAGAATAAACACTTTTGTGTTTGGGGGGGGGGATTGGGGATCTTGGTCCAACAAACAAATAAAAATGATTCTGTTAAAAATTGAACTTTTACTTTATACAACTGTTATGTTGTATGTTTGTGAAATGTTAAAAGCTTAAAAACACAAAATGCTAATTGCTGACATCCATACTCACTTATAAAATAAAGAGAATTTTAAGATAATCAAACCCTGTGGAGATGGGAGCAGCTATCTGCTGGTTTGACCCTAAGCTTTATTTGGGTAGCTATCTCTTCCTGCCCATGAATAGAGTGGGTCTTTGCCCAAGTGTTGTATAGGAACATTATTTTGGATGGAACACACACACATTTGTCTATATTTCCTTAAATTATCTCCCTATAATAAAACAGTAATGAAAATAAAACTTTTACTGGATGTTAGGAACATATATAGTACATGAATTCACTGAGAACTGGGAATGAAATCTTTTCCATAATAAATATTCCAGTGATGTTCTCTGGGATTTTCTACACAATGTGAGATTCAAATTTACATATTTTGAATTTTAAGCAATGAAAGAAATTAATGAAAATCTATTTACATTGGCATTTTATTATCAAAGTAATAAAGTGGAAACTGTGAATACCAGAATTTCAATCATTGTCTGATTCTAGGTAAAAGTTCCCTGAAAACCAAGAATGATGCTTGAATGTCAGAAGAAGAGCACCAGCCATTTTTCCCCAAAGGTATTGGGAATTATGTACAGTGAAGGATGAGCATAAACCTGTAGTGGTAACCACTGCTTGCTTTTTAGCAAGAAGACTCATCTTCCAGAACCCATGCCAAAGAGCTAGATTTAAGACTGGGAATATATCCAATGGTCAAGGAACTTGCAGTGCAAATTTGACTTCTGGAGTTTGCATCCCCAGAAACCCACACAAATTCTAGGTGGACAGGGAGGCCACCTATAACTCTAGCCTCTGTGAGCAGAGACAGGAAGATCCCCAGGGCAATGTGGCTAGCAATAGACAGGCAAGCTCTGAGCTTGATTGATACATACAGCTTCAATGAACAAGGTGGAATAGTGATTGAGGATGATTCTGAATATAGCAACTTCCAGCCTCCAATTTCACACATCCACAAATACACCAAAAGCATTCATATGCCTACCCCACCACAATATGGACAGGATTATAAGCACAGAGATGCTGGTTTGTTCCACTGTCCTGCTCTCCTCCACTCTGTACCACCTATTTATCAAGACGTCTGGTCCTGCTGGACAGCAACAAACCAAACTGATGCCCACCTCAGGTGTGTGTTATGGAAATTTAAACACAAAAGCTACCCAGAGGCAACATCTCCTATAGACACCTCAAGAATGCTGCCTGAATAAGCCACAAATACTCTGCCAAGTCCAATTTGTCCATTCATAGCTCAGCTTCAGTCAGTGACTCATCTGATCTTCAACCTTCCTGTGCCAGGCCGTCACTTCCTGTTTCCTCTACTAACTCCTTATTTCACATTAGGAGAAAGGTACCCTGTTTAAAACACTCTGCTGTTGCTTCCCTGTCTGAACTATGACCAACAGTTAGACCTAAATGCTCTAACTGTATAAAGGAGCCTAGACAATCCCACTATCTAGACAGGCTGGCAATTGCAATGTTGTAACAATCTATAAATTATTTGTTATGAATGGCCATGAGAAACAGAAGTGTTTCTAATTGCTTGTGAACACACAAGAATGCTAACAGATTCCAGAAACTGAGCTCATCCAATGACCTAGTCAGGGAATAACTTCTTAAAGAAATAAAAACAATTTTTTTATTTTATTATTTTTCTTATTTTACATATCGATCCCAGTTCCTCCTCCCTCCTTCCCATGTCCCCTGACTTCCCCTCCTATCTCATCCCCCACACACTCTCAGGGAGGGTGATACCTTCCAGGAGGGACCATCAAAATCTGTCAAGTCATTTGGAGTAGGGACTAGGCCCTCCCTCCTGTCTCTAGGCTAAGGGAGTATCCCTCCATGGGGAATGTGCTCCCAACGTCCTTTCGTGCACCAGGGATACATCCTGGTGCCACTGTCAGAGGTCCCTTAATCTGCCCAGGCCTTCTACCTGAGACCCACATTCAGGGGGTCAGAGTCAGTATAATGCTAGTTTCCCATGAGCTCCCCCTTATTCAGGTCAGCTGGCTCTGTGGGTTTCTGTAGCCTGATCTTGACCCCTTTCCTTATCACCCCTCTCTCTCTGCAACTGGATTCCAGGAGTTAAGGTCAATGTTAACTGTGGGTGTCTGCTTCTGTTTCCATCAGCTACAAGATGCAGGCTCTATGATGGCATGTAAGTTAGTTATCAATCTCATTATCAGGAAAGGGCATATAAAGTAGCCTTTTCACTGTTGCTCAGTTTGTTAGTTGGGGTCACCTTTGTAGGTCTCTGGACATTTCTTTAGAGTCAGTTTTCTCTTCAAACCTATAATGGCTCCCTCTATTATGGCATCTCTGAAATAACAACAAATTAATCTAACAAACGTAATAATATCTCAAGAAAACTGAAACGGCCATAACAAAATTAAAAATCATATCACAATAAAATTTTAAAATATTTCCCATACTATTTTTTAAAATTTATTGTTGTATGACAGTTTTTCCAACTTCAAACACTCCATCTAGATGGAGGGGCAAGCTCATGACATTCAGAAGGTAAACAAAGTATCATATGTCTTTAAAAGCTGAAGCTTAGAAAATTCTAGAAGGCCCCTCCATGGCTTTATAAAAGCCACAAGCAACTGCTCTCTCCTGTGAGGAGAGAGCTGTATAATGGCAGCTTTGTGAGTCATCACCTGTGCTTTGGAAAATCTTTTCCATGATGCAGCTGCTTTTGAGCCATCCTCTCTTCTGTAAGTAACCTGGTACCTATTACTCATATTAGTTACCCCAATGGGAACTCATTGGTTCACGAAGTTGGAATTTGGTGTGATTATCACTTTGGTCTGTTATGGGTTCCTTTTCTGGAGTGAGGAGGTGAGTGCGTGTTTGTGTGTGTGTGTATGTGTGTGTTGTGTCACCCCTGGGAAAAAATAAATGTATGCCAAGTGGTGGTGGCTCATGCCTTTAATCCCAGCCCTCAGGAGGCAGAGGCAGGCAGATTTCTATGAATTTGAGGCCAGCCTGTTCTACAAAGCTACACAAAGAAACCCTGTCTCAAAAAACCAAAATAAATAAATAAATAGGTAAATAAATATATGTAAAATATTTATATTGTAAATTATAATTCCCCTAAATAGGACAAATCTTCTATGTGCATACTGTCAACCAGATAGATTTTTTAAATAAAGGGTCATGTCTAAAACATTATAAGCAAGACCCTCACATTGAGAAACTTTTTTTTTTTTTGGAAAAGGTACATCCTACTCATACCTTCATATGGAGATTCTTACCATGGCAATGATCTGAGGGCTGTGTTGTTTGGCCAAGCCAATGATGTCCACACCATTATAATAGAGGTTCTCCAAACATCCATGAAAATGTTTATACAGCAATGACACTGATTTTGCAGGTGCTGAGATCCCTCCAAAGCTGATCTTAGAAAGAAAAGTGGCATCAATAATATTGTTTAGTGATTTTTTGTGGTAACCTGTTTAAATAATTATGATTAGCAATTATAGCACTAATCATCACGTAGATGACTTTACAACACCACACAGAAAAAAATTAAGATACTGACTTTTAAAAACAAATTTATGTGCATTCAGTCTTCATTTGTGTGACAGCTTGATTATCCTTCCAAGTCACTAATCACACCTGGTTTTGATATTTATTGCTTAATGAAGAAAAATACACTTTTTGATTCACAGTAGAACTTGCTCTATTTAATAATGTAGCTAATTATGTTATTTTATTTTGTATATGTTTCTAGCACAAATTGATATTTGCATATTGAAATCAGCTGTTAATGAATTAGTCTGTTTGCCGTTATAGTCTCTCATAAATCTGTATTTCTCAGGGGTAGACCAAGAAATCAGTGGATGCATTCTAGATTTGCATGTGGCAGTGGACTCTCATCATGGGAAACATAATCTGCCTATGAGGTACAGAGACTGTATGTGTCAGGTGAAATGATTGTCATGATCTATAAGGATACACATAAATATATAAGAAACGATAAGCCCCAAGTTCCATGTGCTAGTAAACTAGATCAACTTAGGAATACTTTGTCAGCCTGGGGATTTATTCTGAAGGTGTCCTTTTTAATAGCATATCTTCTGCTAGGAAGTTAAACCACATATAACATCATCAAATCTGTATTAATTGAAATGTAACTACCACACCTCATAATCAAGATCCAGGTAATTGAATTCTCCCTGGGCATGGAAGTGACGTCGGTGCTCGTCCACTGTAAAGTTGACCTGTTTGCCCAGTCTCTGGATGAGCACAGAATGCCAATGCTGATCATCCAGCAGGCTGCCCAAGGTGAGGTTGATCAGGGTGGAACTAGACATCAGTCTAGCTTCTCCTAAGAGGAAAAAAAATAACAACACTGTGATTCAGTTAAAAGGTTGGAGAGCTTTTTTTCCGATGGACCTGCATCTCTCACAGTAATTTGCAAACTTCTTGCATGCATGCCATCCTGAACACCAGTGTGGATTTATCTGAAGCTTGATTATAATGATCTCTCAACCTTGCTGTAATTTCTTCCACTGTTAATTCTTTCTATTATTATTACCCATTGCAAGCTCATTTTCTATGTAAATTTTATCTTTGCTACAAGCTCATTATTTTTACTGCTGTAATATTTTTCAATGACCCATCCCATTTTTTATGATGCTAGGAAATAACTATGGAACTACATCAGAGTTATAAGAAAAGCATCCAATGTGGTGTTTGTGCAGTTTGCAAACATGAATCATATGGACATTTGTTGGGAGAATATTTGATCACACTGTGAACCTTGAGTTTGCATTTGAATTAATTAAATAAAATTAATCTTGAGTCAGTAAGTTGAGTTAGCACCTAGTTGACAGAAAGTAATCAGAGAGCCTCAGCAGACTTGGTCTTGTTTGTAGATAGATTTTTAAAAATTTAAATTAACCAATTTCTATTCATCTATGTACTGCACAGAGGTACATCAGCTACATACTGTCCATTAAGTTTTCCTGCTTCTTCCATGTCTGCCTGTCTGGCCTCTGGCTGGCTGACTGAATCCTATTTTTTCTCTGCCTGCCAGCTCTGGCTATCCCTCCTCTGCCTAGCTATTGGCCATTCAGATTTTTATTAGACCAATCAGGTGCTTTAGGTAGGTAAGACAACACATCTTTACATATTTAAACAAATATTCTATTCCACAGCAGGCACTGGGTATTCCCACAAGTCTTTGAATGGGAAAATAAGGTACTTGGAATGTAAAGAGAAGTGAGATATGAAAACATCAAGTTACATAAGTGATAATCAAATGATCAAAACTTTCAAGAGCCTCACCAAGTAACTTTACCTGAATTGATAAGTAAGAATAGTTTTCCTCTTCTTAACTCCAATATGATATGATCTCCAGTAGGCCCTGCCCTGTGCAGTAGGATCCCATCACTCTCCATAGTTTTAAATTTCAAAGAAATAATATCTCTGATTGGACTCAAGGAATTTTGATCAAATCTGTAGAGAAGGGAACTTTTTCCATCAAGATCAATCACCACTGACCCTGAAGACAAAGATAGTGAAAGTCATCAATCTACAGATGAATGTGGTTTTCACTGAAACATGTTAATTACTGTGCTGTGTATGTGTGCGTGTGTGCTCGTGTGCATGCACAAGCACATGAATGTATACTCTAGAGTCATAAAACATCATTTTAAGCAATCATTAAATTGGCCTTGTACTCTATCTTATTGTGTTATCTTCATGACTAAGTGGTAGTATTTAAGGACACAGCTATTTTCTGCCTTCTCAAGGGCATCATTGGAAAGAAATTAAACTAATAGTATTGTAAGGTTTATTCTACTGCATTCATGTCATACTTTGACACCAACCTGTTTTTTCAGCTTTCTGGCAGTGTCTTACCTACTCATTGTCAAGCTCACTCTTATCCAGATTATCTTTAAAAAGATGTCATGTTATACTGGTAACATAATAATACATCTGTCAAAATCAGTTGCAGCCCCCAAAAAGACACAAAATGAAACCAATAATACTCAGAAATCTTCACGGCATTTTCTATGTTTCACAAGTCAAGGAGTTTTTAAGGCAATTACCCTTAAGAGTATATTTATATAATAAATGAAGAAGATAGAGAAACTCAATAAAATAGGAAGCTGTTTTTCTTTGGCTAAGCTGACTTCTTTCAGTCAACAACATGACATTATAGCTTACTCATTGTGTGTCATTTGATGAAATTATTACAGTTACTTATATGCCCAAATGTGTATTGATTCAGACTACCCACTACACCCCAGAAACTGTTAATTACTTGTACCCACATAAATGTTTTCACTATTCTATGAAGCTCTCTTCTGAAGTTCCAGGGGTCTGACTTTTCTTTAACATATTGTTAATATGCTTATAAAGAATTCATTCGCCAAGTACACATGAATAAACATCACATGCCTTAGAAAGAATAATGTTAGCTGAACAATCATTCCTTGTTATATAGTTGAATGAATGTGTATGGTTAAAACATAACTCTTTGTCAAACACAAATGATGTTTTCTTCCATTATTAGATAGCAATAAATTAAGAAAAATTTCAGCCAGATAGACTTTAAATGTTGACACATTTGGAGCAATGCAGTTATCTCTGAGTTATCCCTGAGTTAATGTATTGCTTAGAGGCAACTATCAAAGTAATGATTTTATTATAGATAAAGACTATTTTTGGAATTAGCAACCAAGAGATCCCCCCCCATAAAACAGCCCATGTTACTTTAGCCTACTATTTCTTTTTCACTATTGTTAGTATTACATTATAATGGTTGTATCCATCTTCCATGGCACCTCAAGCTTTGCAGCCAAGAATATTTCCGTCAGCAAAATAAGGTAGTGAGGAAAAAAATCTTGAACAATTGATGCCTAAAGCAATGGTGTAATGTTTTATCCATTAAACTAAAGCCACTTAGCATTTTCTGTGACTCTTACCTACTTTTGACCTCACAGGTACATGACTATGCATGCCAATGAAGTTTTTTTTTTTTTTTTTACTATAAACATATTCAGTTTACCATGTCTGAGGTGCTGTATGCTAAATTTGCTGGGTAGAAAATATGCAAAATATGTATGCCTACATGGAGCTTAGACACAGAGAAGATGAACAAATATATCCATAAATCCATTACAGATTCTGACAGACATTCCAGTGGAGAAGAAGGCCAACTGGCCAAGATGCTGAGAAAGAGCTTACTCAGATGTCAGACCTAGAAATATGACTCTTGGGCAGGTTTCATATGCAACCTGGCTTCTCCCTACAGTTTCAAGCCCATATCTTCTCATAAACCAGATTACACTTGTGGTGTGTAATTTTAAAATGCCTAGATATTCTCTCATATGTTCATGTTCACTATCATAAATACACTTTTAAGAATTGTTGAGAAACTGCTATGACAAGAAATAATGTAATGCTCTGAAGTAGGAGGTAGATTCCATTCAACTAAAAGGCCTCTGAGAAAAAAATAGTATAGCAATAGGGAAATGAGCATATTGATAGCAATCATATCACACATTCTACATGTATGCAAGCAATGCCTTTCAAACAAGAGAAAAGGTCAGAAAGCATCCAAATAATCCTGACATTCTCATACTAACATTGTGCTCATTTACAGCAATTCACTTTTTTATTATTATATTTATAATGTTACCTATGCAAACGTCTGACATGTGAAATATAGTTTTGAATCATCAGCAGCACAAAGCACTGTATTGTGATACATAAAATGCCCTGGTAAGATTTGTTGTCAACCTGAATGCAAGCTAGAGTTGTCTGAGTAGAGAGAACCACAGATGCAAAAATGTATACAATCTACAATCCTAGAGAAGCTGAGAAACAAGGAAGACCCTAGGAGAGACATACATGGACCACCGAGAAGGGAAAAGGGACAGGATCTCCTGAGCAAATTGGGAGCATGGGGGGGGCAGGGGAGAAAGGTAGGAGAAAGAGAAGGGGAGAAGGGGAAGGTGGAGGGGAACATGAGGGATCAGGAAGGTCGACTTGAGGGAAGAACAGAAATGGAGAACAAGGAAAGAGATACCTTGATAGAGGGAGCCATTATGGGCTTAATGAGAAACTTGTCACTAGGGAAATGTCTAGGGATCTACAAGGATGACCCCAACTAAGAATCTAATCAATAGTGGAGAGGCTACCTTAAATGTCCTTCCCCTATAATGAGATTGATGACTATCTTAAATGCCATCATAGATCTTTCAACCAATAGCTGACAGAAGCAGAAGTAGAGACTCACAGGTAGGCATTGAGCTGAACTTCTGAAGTTTAGTTGTAGACAGGGAGGAGTGATGAGCAAAGCGGTCAAGACCATGCTGGGGAAATCCACAGAAAAGGCTGACCTGAACAAGTGGAAACTCACAGACCACAGTCTGACAGCTGGATAACCAGCATAAGACCAAACCAGGCACCCTGAACATGGGTGTCAACTGGGGAGCTTGGGTAGTCTATGGGACCAATGGCAGTGGAACCAGTATGTATCCCTAGTGCACAAATGGGCTTTGGGAGCCCATTCTCTATAGAGGGATACTCTCTCAGCCTAGATATACTAGGGAGGGCCTAGGCCCTACCCCAAATAATGTGACAGATTTTGATGATCACCCATGGGAGGTCTCACCCTCCCTGAAGATTGAATGAGGGTGGGATGGGAGGGGTTAATGGAGGGAATGGGAGGTCAAGGGGGAGAGAGAACTGGGATTTATAAGTAAAATAATATTGTTTTTAATTTAAATAAAAATAATTAGTTTTTTTAAACAGATTGATGACAAATAAGTCTATGGGATATTTTTTTCATCAGCCTACTCAGTCAGTTCCTTAGGCATCCAGCACCACCACCCTGAGGTGTATAACAATACAGACTGAGCTAGGCACAGAGAACAAACCAGCTTCCTGCCTGGAGTTCCTGTCCTAACTTCTTTGATGATGGATGGACTATATAATGGAGGAGCATAAGTGTCATCAACGTTTTCCTTCCTAAGATGCTTTCTGTCACTGTATTTTATCACAACTGAAGCTGTAACAAAGACATAGAGACAAATTATAGAAATATCTGGAACTATCTTTTCTAACCCACTTCCCTCTTATAAAAGACCCTTCTGATTTTATAGGGTCCCCCTGAATAAACTAGGTAATCCCCCAATAATTGCTCCCTCAAAGCACCTTTGGTGCATAAGGTACCACAATGTCTTTATACTTGGGTTTTAGGGACAAAGATTGTGTCACCATGATAAAACACTTGACAGATGTAAAATAGGAGAGGAGGGGTTTTGACTCTTGGATTCAAAAGACCTCTGGCATGGCAGGGAAGACAGTATCTATGACTCTAAAGTATAAAACAGAAAGCAGAAAAGATGAGCCCATATGAAACCTTCAAGGGTCTGGACCTTTTGGCAGACTTCTGCCAGCCAGGCCCTGCCTCCTAAAATTTCCACAGCCCTCCATAAATACTGGCAGCAGGAGGAGGATATGTGCTCAGATACTAGCCCTGCGGGTACATCTCATATTCAAACAATAATAGTGGGGGTGTTTTTTTCCTCTCATAGCAAATTCCTTAACCTCTTTGTCTTGCTTCTTCATGCATGAAATGAGAGTAACTGTACATTATCCACAGGTTTGTTGTATGAGTGTTTATCCACATAGTAACAAGTAATCAATGAACACTCATTGCTGCTAATGCTTACCTATTATTTATTGTTAGAATATTGAGCTGGAAAAGAGGTAACCAAAATAATTAAATACTTGGATTTATTTCTGATTCTTTAAAACATAATGAATTCCTGAAGAACACACACAAATGCACAAATGCACATTTACACACAGGTATACACACACATACATGCACATACCACACATGTGCATATATGCACAAGCACACATACTCATTCTCACACAAGCACACATGTGCTCATACACACACACACACACACACGCACACACACACACACACACACACACGCACACGCACACACACACACACACATAGTGCTCTTCAGTATCAATGTCCTTGGCAGGTTATACAGAGAGGATGATTTGAGGCAGCTCTGGGTTCTAGGCTCTTTGTCAGCTCCTGCCTGAACCAACTCACCATAACAGTTGTTGGTGACCTGAATCCTCCTCAGTGAATACCGCCATCTGAAATCTGCTTATTTAAAGCAAGAACTGAGGAAAGAGGAGACTCAGAAACACTGTAGGTCTGGACCATTTCTCCTTGTGACTCAGTATAGCGTCTGCTTTACTTATGTGATGCAGAAGTGTAATCTTCCATGGAGGGAAAGCTTTCCAATAGAAAATATACAAATGTCTTTCAGGGAGCTGTGTCGGAAGGAATGTTCCTGAAATGGGCATTCTGCCCTCCTTTCAAACATCAGCCCATATTTATGGAGAGCTCTGTGAGCACAGAAGCAGATGAAGTATTACATGAAAACAAAGTACATTCTTTCATATTTTTCAAGGAGCTTACCATCTACGGGAAGACACACATCCCTGAGACTTGAT